GGAATCTCACTATACATCAGCTATTCTCATCCTCCCCTCTCTCATGACAAGGCGCGCACGAGTCCTATCAGGAAAAAAAGGTTAACTGTGCGACCTGAGTAACGTGCAGTAATGGCGTGTCGGCAATGGTAACTTAGTTAGATTACTTAGTTAGATTACTCGTTACTAAAAAAGGTAACAGCGTTACTTTCAACGCGGTTACTCCCATCACTGGTTATATGTGTTATCGGCTTGAAAGCCACTGGGAGCTAATTTTTAGAAAATAAAGGCCTTAGTTTGTCTGAAACTCAGCAACATATGGAATGGGTCTGGGTTCTGCTGTGGTCCTGTTTGGGTTTCTGTCTGCTTTGAGGAAAGCCCAGTGAGAAGAACCACATGCTCTATGGTTCGTCTTGTGTGTGATTTCTCCCTGTTGAAGTCAGCAGGTCTTTAATGGAGCAGCTTGTTGTCATTAATATTAATTGCGATATCTTTAGCTGGTTCTGTTGGACTGTTCTAAACTGCATCCTGTTGGATCAGCTCACATCTTTCCATTCCTCATCCAGAATTAGGAGCTGCGGTTTGTCAAAGGTCAGCTGTGCTTCCCTGGTCTCGGCTCTGGAGTCAAACCCCTCACATCTGGAACATCTGGACCTGATGTATAACAAGCTGAAGGAATCAGATGTTCAGCAGCTTCAGGATCTCATAAAGAATCCAAACTACAAACTGGAGATTCTGTAAGTAAATGGTTGGATTGAATCCATCTGCTTGGATCAGGATTGAAACACCTGCTGATCTTTATCCAGGATGTGCTGCATCACTGACTGACAGCTGATGGAGAGAGAGGCTGGAAACACTGATTGATCCCCTCTGTTCATTATTCTTCTCTCTGCAGGAAGTGGGACTCATGATGATCTTAGTGGAGGAGAGAAGATGATCTGTGTCCTGATGATCCACAGAGTTTGAAGCTGCAGCAGTTTAAGTTTGAATAGACTCTGACTGGATCCTGATGATAAACTCTGTGTTTAGAGATGTTTCTCTTATTTGTTTGATCTTCTCTGTTATTTAATGTCTGATATTGTTTTTTCCCTTTGGAGCAATGAAGATAAATTTTAAATTAACTCCATTTAGTAGCTCCATTGTTTGTTCGAATTCGATTAAACTCCTTAACTTTTTTCTTTGATTAATTTTGAGCATGAAAACCAGAAATCTGAAATAAAGCTTATTATTAAAGTTTTAAGGCAGCAGGTGTGTTTTATTGTGATGCAGTTTTTTAATATTTATTATTTCATTTTCGTTTTCTGCACAGTTTTAAGTGGTTCTGCTCTTCAATATGTTGCTGCAAACAGCTCAGTGAGGAAATTATGGTTTCTCAGGGAATTTCTTCAGGATTTTCAGTCAGATATTTTTGATTTTCTTTTTTCTGATTTTCAGACATCAATGGATGAATATCAATTTTAATCTGTTCCATCATCCCTTTTGGTGAGCTTAGAAACACTTCCTGGAGCAGCTCAGAGACTTTCACATCTTTGGAGGATTTTCTCTGGCCTTCCTGCAAAGCAGTTCTGCTTTTATTAGATGCATTTCCATTACTGTCCTCTGGGGGGCGCTACAGGCCCAAGTGGTGCACCAGGAGCCGGACGAACAGCTTTGAACCCTCAGCTGTCCAAGAACTTCACTCTGGTCCTCCTGTTCCAGCACATCCATCCCCAGCATCTTTAAAGCCTTTGGACCTGCTGATGTGAACTATTGGACGGCCTCTGAAGAAAACTTTGATATCTTTAAGTTCTTTAAATCAATTTTTATCAGATTTTCCCCCTTTATGACCAAAATTTTTTTCTGCTTGTCTGAGAAGCATCTCTAGGGAAGATACTGGGAATGTCCCCCTATTCCATCCAATTACCAGAGAGACATTTCCTTCTGTCTCCATGGTGTTACATGGTTTCACTTGTGGATCCTGCTCAAATTTAAAACCATTTTAGTTGGTCAGTTTTAAACAAGCTGTGGAGCCATGCTGGACCTCAGATAGACTCAGGAAACTCTCTAGAGGTCCAAATGCCAGGATTCTGAATCTTCCCTTCTCTGTCATTGAGCTCTAGTTTCTCAGCAGGTTGAGCCTCTCTGTAGAGCAGAGCCTGTGTTTTATTAAAAGGTCTCTAACTTCCAGCAGCAGATAGAGAATAGGAAATATCCAGCCTCAATCAATCCATCTGATTTACTTTTTATTGACCTTTCAAGAGCCTTTGACTCCATAGACCATGCTATTTTAAAACGCAGGCTACTCCTTATTATAATCATCTAGAAAACCGGTCCCAGTGTATAAAATGTGGGGCTTTGTTCTGAATTTGTTACTGTTCACAAGGGCATGCCACAAGGTTCTTTTTTAGGCCCCCTCTTATTTAGCTTGTACATCAACAATGTAGAGCAAAATTTCTTTAATGCTAATATGCATTTTTATGCTGATGGTACCATTATTCATTAATTTGGGTCGTCTCTTGAACAGGCTATTTATTCCCTACAGAAAGCCTTTGTTGCAGTACAGTATTTATTTATTAATCTTAAATAGTTTATTAATCCTGACAAAACAAAGTTAATGTTGTTTTCAAATAATAGGAAGGTGCCTCAAGCCCTTCCATAAGTGTCCACTCTGAATGAAGAGTTTTGCTGGGTTCTTTTTTTTGTTTGTTTGTTTGTTTTTATTAATTCATATCAGTATGATTTGGCTCTCACACCCCAGCAAAATATATAAATCTGAGTATTGTTGATGATAATAGAATAAACTGATTTAGCGTATAAAAGAGAGTCTTGGATGCCATGGCTGCTAAGGAGGCTTGGAGAGCAGAAAAAGTAGAACCAGACAAGTGGCAGTGGTTAAATGCATAGATTCAAAACATTTTAGGCTCCTTTTAGTCATATTTACGTAAATATTTTTTAACCCCTTGATGCCCAATTTATATAAATGTATATCTATTTTAAAAATACGTTCTTTGCCTTAAACTAGTTGTAAAATTAAAATTTCTAAACTTCTTACTTATTAAGAGAAAAAATAGAAATGTAAAATTGTCACAACATTTATAACAGCCAGTGAAAACATTTAATGTGAGGGACCAGTTGTCACAGAAACATGATGTCTCCAAAGGTTCCTAAGTTCACACAGAATGTGTAAATCTGCCACTGAGGAACATTATATCTTGTCTGTGTAAATTATACAATTTGTTTGATGCCTATTTGCAACAATGGGCATCAAGGAGTTCAGATAATTGCAACTTTTACATCACGCAAGTACATTTTCCACATAGAATTGTTTTAGTATTGTTTAACTAATTTGTGATTCAGTTTGTTCTGGCAGTGGGAAAATGAATCCGCTTTAGATTTTCACACTGGTTTCATGTGCATGTTTTCAAATGTTTCAAGTGTCCTGAGATCTCAGCCACTCTCTGCGACCACAGGTTGAAGCTTGGTGATTTTAATTACTCTGTTTGATAGATGGCATCTCATTGGAAAGAAGTAGGTTTGCAAGTTTATGTTAAACATTGCTTTTCTGCTTTTTTTTTCTTTTACTTTAAATTGTTAGTATAAACAAAAAAAACTAACTTTAGAAAAATGTTATTTGAACTGGGGAAGATAATGACATATCTTCAAAAAAAAAAATAACGCAGATGTTGTGTTCATACAGAAACAGCTCTTTTAGGCAGATGAGGCTTTGAAGCTAGTGTTTACCTGGGTGGGAAAGGTTTTCATAGTTTGTTCACTTGTTTATATATATATATATATATA